TTTTTTTTTTTGCCCCGGGGCGGGGGGGGATGGGGAGGGGGTGCCTGTGTATGTGTGTGCCTGTGCATGGTGGGGACTACATACCCGCTCCTTCTTCTTCCGTGTAGAGTACGAGTACGGCATGTGGCAGAGATAGGTACAACCACCAGCTGTCTCGGTTGCCGCTCTTCCTCTTCTGGCGCCAACCTGGGACAGGCAAGCGCCAACCCATCACCACCCATAAAAATTTTTTACACCCACCCCCCACCCGCTACATCCCCGACTCCCCCTTCCCCCCCCCCCCCGCCCCACTGTCCCGCCAGCACGACCACCAGCGCGACAACGGGGAGGTGGCCAGGGACGCGAGTCAAGGACGACGACCACCTCACCCTCTCACCCTCTCACCGCCACGGACCTCAGAGCACGTTCGGCAGGTACAGCACGCACCCCCTATACCCCTATACCCCCCACCCTCCTCCTCACGTAGCCCTATGCCGAGCGGACCGACGGCGAGCCGGCCGGGAGCAAGGAGGTCGTATGCTGGCTTCTACCAAAACGCCACACTCCTCGCCGTGGGACGGACACCAGCAGCAAGACGGAAGGTCAACCCAAAGGCATTCCTTCCTGTTCCCTCGACACCCAATCGGAACACTTCGGTCACTCTTTTCCGGCTGTCACTGCCGGTGGTGTGAACAATGCCAGTACGGGCAAGGAGGCTGAGACGGGCAGCTCAACTGGCAAGGCCATTGATGGGCAGGGCCATCAGCATCGATCTCCATCATCATCCTCTGCTCAGACAACAGCAGCAGCAACAACAGCAACATCATCATCATCACCAGCAACAACAACGACAACGTCATCGACTACAGCATCGTCGTCGTCCGTCCCGGACACCGCTGCCATCAACGCTACTTCATCGTCAGACAAGTCTGCCGTTCCGGCTGGTGGTGCTACTGCTGGTTCGGATGGAGTGGTGGCTATGGACGAGTCGTCGGCGGGAAGTGGGGCGGTGGCGGCGGCGGCTCCGCCAAAGGGCTACGAAGCTGTCAGGCCGTGGGCGGTGGTCGAGGATCTGCTGCTGGCCCATGCCGTCATGGCCTCAAAGATCGAAAAGCCAGAGACGACCGAGCATTGGGTCACCATCTCGCAGATGATCAAGGACAAGGTGGCCAACTCTGTGCGCGAGCCGGCGTTCTTCTCGCCGGCGCAGTGCAAGCTCCGCTACAACGAGCTGGTGGAGGAGACCATTCACAACACGCGCGGCAAGGCATCCGGCACGGCACAGGCCTCGCCGGGCGAGCAGGTTGTCCAGTCGCTCCTCCACAAGCGCCTCCGCGAGCTCAAGTCGTCACAGCGGATCAAGGAGAAGCTCATCAAGTGCATCGCCACCCAGATCGGCGACATCAAGTCCGGTGTCCTCGACGACGACCTGCACTACGTCATTGAGGCCAACGGGACGTACCCGGTCCGTGACATCTCCATGAACGGCATCTTTGCCTCGCCGCCGCCGCTCATCCACCGCAAGATCCAGCCCGGCATCGTCCTCTCCGGCTCGCTCAACCTCACACCGCTGGCCGACGACGTCGCCCCCTCGCGCTCCTCACGCTCCGCTCGGACCCCGGCCAAGGCCTCGGCATCAAAGTCCAAGGCCAAACCGAGCGCCACGCCCAAGGCCTCGCGCTCGCGCCGCAAGCGCTCGCGCTCATCTTCGGTCGCCGTCGAAGGCGACTCGGCGGCCTCCCCCGCCCCCGCCGCCGGTGACGATGGCGACGACGGCGACTCGAGCCCCGCTCGCTCGCGCAAGCGCCGCAAGGGCCTTACCGGCGACGACGGCATCGACGACTCGGACACCTCGGACGCCGGCGTCAAGAAGCGCGTGGCCAAGCTCAAGTCGCTCCTCAGAGTCATCACCTCGCACGCCTCGGCAAACCCGTTCAAGACGCCTGTCACCGAAGACGTCGCCCCGGGCTACTTCTCCGTCGTCTCCAAGCCCATGGACCTCTCCACCATCCGCGAGCTCATCCGCGACGGCTCCATCACCACCTTTGCCGCCTTTAAGAGCGCCTTCCAGCTCATGATCGCCAACGCCCACAAGTACAACCCCAAGGGCAACGTCATCCACGAGATGGCCACCGAGATCTCAGAGTTTGGCCTCTCGCTCATCGCAAAGTATGCCACAGGCGCAGAGGCGGCGGCCACTCCGGGACGCCGCTCCCGCCGCACAGGCTGATCTGCTCCTGCCGGACAGCAAGATTAACACGAGCTCGTCGTCCTGACCCACCAGCGCATTGCTCACATGAGCTGGGTAAACACCAGCTCGTCACTCGCGATCGACAGCTCGCCCACCATCTTTGCCACTCGCTCCCGCCACACCCCCGCCGCGCCCCGGCTCGCGCCAGCACCCGGACCATGGCGTGCTCCGCCGAGTGCCACTCCCCTCCACGCCCGCCGTCGCCGATGGCTCGCAGGACGGCAGCCCACCGGCGAGCCCATCGAGCCACCGTATCCGCATCGGCCTCAGCGATCCGCGCGTACAAGCCAGCAAACGCCACGTCGCACCCGACGTCTGCGCCTACCAGCATGACATTCTCGCACATGGCCGCCACCCCGTTCACGCTCGCCAGCACCTCCCGCTGCCAGCCGGTCTCATCGAGTTCAGCCTCCATGCTGTACGCCGCCACGCCGAGCGCAGCGCCGGCCCAGCGGTGCGCGGCGCAGAGTACCGCCTCGTCAAGCACGTTGTCCCGCCAGCGGAGCACGCTAAGCGCCACAGACACCAGTCCGCGCGCCGCGAGTGAGTCGGGCGTGGCGTCTGCCGATGCCAGCGCGCCGCGGAGCCACGCGACCTGGCCCAGCCACGCCTGCAGCTCGCCGCGGAGTGGAAGCGACTCGGCATCGGCCTTTTTCAGCCGTGCGTGCAGCGTCCGCAGCGTCTTGGTCGCCGCACCCAACACCCCATCAGCACGCGCCTTGATCTCGGCCTCTAGCCGCGCCCGGAGCTTGGCCTCGGCTGCTGGCAGCGCCCGCGCCATGCCAAGCTTGCCCGCCGCACTCCGTACACCTGCCGACGCGCCCACCGGCGCAAGGTGCTCGATCGTCGCCGTGAGCCGGCGCTTCACGCTCGCCACCAGCGCCGAGAACAGGGCACCCTCGCTCGCGTGGACAACAGAAAACGCCGCCGCAGACGTCTGCGACCGCATCGTCGCCTGGGCAAAGACGTTGACTGGCTCCTTGTCCGCATCCAGCCGCCGCCCGTGCTCCAGAACCAGCACTGCCCGCATTTGCTCGCCGAGCACGGCGTCGACCCGCGCCAGCGCCCCGCGCGCCACGCTCGCCAGCGTCTCATCCACGCCGTTGGCCACGCACGCAGGCACCGCCACCGCCATCACGGCGTCGAGCGTCTTGTGCTGGTGGAAGAACCACGACGAGAGCGCGTCGATGTGCTCGGCCTCGAGCGAGATCGCTGCCTCGGTGAGGCCGCCAAAGAGCACCTGCGACTGGCTCTGCACAGGCCGGACCAGTCGCGTCCGCGTGTGTACCGCCCGCGCAGGGTGGTTGGCCACAAGCTCCATCTTGGCCGCCTCCTCCATCAGCGCCCCGAGCCCGCTCGACATGTAGCTCATTGCACTCGTTGAGAACGAGTACGCCACGTCGTCCGCCCCATCGACCGCAAGCCCGGCCTCAAGCCGCCTGTTCTCCTCCTCGCTTCCGCCTAGCGCCTCGACCACCGCCGCGGTAGCAGCACGTACATCGAGCTCCTCTCCCAGCAGCGACTCGATGGGCCAGCCAAGGACCGCCGCAAGCTCCACAATGCACTGCAGACAGAGCCAGTAGTTGCTGCGCCGAGCCGCCGACTCACAGGCCTCCTTGTCGACCACACTCGCCGCCAGCCAGCGTGCAAGCGACTCCAGCGCGTGCCGGACACGGACACACTCGGCATCGTCGTCCATAACTGAGCAGCCGACCGCTGAGCGAAAGAAGGCGGTCACCGCAGGAATGGCCACCACAAGCGCCCGGCGGAAAAAGCCATGCGCAAGCGCAGCGAGCGGCGAGAACGGAAGCACCATCGCAGTCGCAGACAGGTCCGAGTGCGCAAAGGCGAGCTTGGTCCACAGCGGCGAAAAGGTGAGGAAGCCGAGCATCCGGGCAAGGACGACCGGATCAAGGACGTTGCGGGCGGAGAGCTCCGCAGGCGCCTTTGCCGTCTCAGGAAGGACCTCGCCCCGGGCAAAGAACATGGATGATCCCGATGGAGGGTAGCTGAGCTTGCTACGGAGCATCTGGGTGACCTGCGAGGCAAAGACATGAGAGTCAAGGGCATCGAGGACGAGGAAAACGCAAAGTCGGCGTCGCCGAACACCTGCTCCGCCGCCTTGACCACGCTCTGCTGGCGGACGAGCGTCATCTTGCGACCCATGGCGCGATGTTTGGCCTTGACGCTCGAGAGCATGGCCGAAGACCGCCCATTGCTTCTGCCCCGGCGCCCGCGCCCGCGATCGCCATGGCCCTTGCGCGAGCCGCGTCCTCTGCCTCCGGCCCGGGCGTCGCGGCCAGACCTGCGACTGCGCGACGAGGTCGCGCCGCTCGCGCTGTGTTTGTCGTTCTTGGCTGGCGTGCCTGACGACAGGCCCATGCGGCGCTCGAGCTGCGAGAGCTTGGCGCTGCCGACCTTGACCTGGTAGTTGGAGGCGAGAGCGGCGGCAGCGGCATCGGTGTCGGCAGCAGACATCACCGAGCCAGCCTCGGACGACGCATAGTGGATGCCGAGCAGATCGTCGACAAAGACCCGCGCCAGGTACGAGTAGTTGTTCGGCTCGACGTCGACAATGAGAGTGGCGATGGCCTCGTCGAGCACCTGGGGTGACGCCGCCAGGTCAGCCTTGCTCACCCGCGACGCGAGGCGGACGACGGCCTTGAACGCCGATAGTGCCCGCTCGCGGTTGTTAAACAGCTTGTTCTGGTCCGGATCCTTGCCCTTGGCATTGTCCGAGTGCTGCAGCTGCGTCGTCATCGACGGATCCACAGGCAGCGAGTGCGCTCCGCTAGCGAGCTCATCGTACACTTGCTCGATCCGCGCGCACGTTGCGGGCGCCACCTCACTCAGCAGCGAGTGATGGGCAAGCGCACCTAGTCCGACCACCCCGAGCGCTGGCCACGCCATTGGCATATCGCCCAGCACACGCCCAGCCAGCGCTACCGCCACGCGCGGCCGCATCAGCCACGCCAACGGTCCGGCTCCCGCGCTGCAGCATGAGCTGCTCCCTCCTGCTGCCGAGCTGCTGCCTGACACGCTGCCGGCAGACAAGACCGGAATCGCAAGCAGTATCCGAACCATCTTGCGCACAATGTCGAGCATGGCGGCAATGGGCACAGGCGCGTTACGGGCATGCCGAGTCAACAGCGTTGCTAACGCCTCGACAAGCGCGGCCTCGTTGGCAGATAGCTGCTCTTCGCCAATGTCAGGCGGCAGATCGGAGCAGGGCGCAGGCGTTGATGGCGCTGGTGGTGGTGACGGTGATGATGTGGAAGGCTGCGGCTGCGGAGGACCCAACCGCGCCGCAAGGCGCTCCTCCAGCTTGGCGAGCTGATCGTTTGGAATCTCAGGCGCAAGCTGTGCCGGCGTTGACGACGTCATAGCGCCCCAGACAGACGGCGGCGCTGTGGTCGGCTTGACCCGACGCCGAGCGCTCGAGCCTGATGCTGGCGACGCTGATTGCGCTGCGGGAGGCGCTGGTGACGGCGACACAGGTGATGTCTGCGCAGCCGAGCCAGCGGACGAGTGAGGTGATGCCAGCGGCACCCGCCGTGGTGATGAGTTCGACGAGAGAGCCGAAAGTCGCTGAGCGAGGAGAGGGCGGGCGTGGTGCGGACGGAGGCGTCGGTTGAGACGGTCGTGGCGGTCGAGACGGTCGAGTCGGTCGCGGCGGCGGTCGGTAGTGTGGTAGCCGAGGTCGTAGCCGAGAATGACTTTTGTTCGAAGTAAAGGCGAGCGGCAAGCGGTCGAGGAGGCAAAGGACTGCGTCAGCCGGTGATTTTTCCTGTGGTGATTGGCTGCATGCAGCGAGTGGCGCAGGAGCATCGAGCTGCTGGCGACGACCGTCCGAGTTGTCTTTGGCCAACGGTGGCGGCGAGAGGCCATGGACGGCGAGGTAGCGTGAGAGGGCAAGAAAGTCGTCATTGCCCAGCCACCGCTTCATGTCGAAGCGTATGCCACGTGGCTACCCCGGAGTTCCAAACTTGAGTCAAGTTGCGCCTCTTGCCCCTGGTTACAGCCTTTGCCCTGGTCAGCTCGCCCAAGAGCCGAGGAAGGCACAGGTCGTCAAAGTGCGACCTTTTTCGGATTGGAGCGAGCCGTTCGGTGACAAAGGTGGCACAGGCTGACATGACGGCCAGGTACACTGACGTGCAGCTGCCGTGGTCGGAGGACAAATCGTTTGCCAGAGGCGAGTACGCAATCAATAAGCAGTTGTATCTCGCATTGCGTCGTTGAGGTATCGCAGTGGTGAGCTCTACACTCGCGATGCAGGCGTGACGCGGGCATGCGCGGACGATCGCCATCTATGGATGGGTCTGTGACGAGAGTGTGGTTGATCGATGCGCGCGTGCGGTGCATGTGACGGCCGCAAAAGGGGAGAGAAAGACGGGGGAGGATGGGAGAGAGGGGCGGATTCATGGACGATGAAAGTGGTAGGCCGAGGAGAACTGCGGTCGCTGGGCAGCCGATTGCGGGGAGAGGACGGGAGTGGACTTGTTGAGGAGCGAGAGCGAGGTTTGGGCGGCGGCGACTTGCTGGTGCTGGTTGATGACGGCGAGCGAGGTGGTGTCCTGATCTACTGGGTCTGGGACGGTGGTGGAGACCGAGGACTCGTCGTCGGCGAGCAAGCGATCGGCCTTGGAGAGGTGGTGCATGAGAGTGTCGCGGGCCTCGGACGAGATGCGGGTGTTGCGCTTGACAGTCGGGCCCTGGGATGGGCCGTAGGCATGGGCGAGATCAGTCTCTGTCGGCTCAACATCTGGCTCAGCGAGAGCAGCCATGGGCAGCTGGCCGCCGGCGGTGACCCAGGAATGGACCTTGATGTCGGCGATGGTGGCGCGGGTGGCCGGGTCCTTCTCGAGGAGGGCAAGGAGGAGCGACTTGAGGCCCGGCGAGAGGGTGACGCCTGCGGCGGCCTGGGCCGAGTTGAGCGGCGGGTCGGCGTTGCGGATCTTGTCGTAGATGGCAAACTCCGAGTTGGCCATGAACGGCAGCGAGCCGAGAACAAGCATCCAGAGAGTGATGCCGAGAGCCCAGACGTCGACAGCGTCGGTGAGCTGGATCGAGTCTTCCGAGACAGTTTCTGGGGCAAGGAAGGCCGGCGAGCCCTCGGTCCGCGCGACGGCGGCGTTCTGAGTCGAGAAGACGTGTGAGACGTTAAAGTCTGCGATCTTGACAGCATCGAGCGCGTCGAGCAGCAAGTTCTGTGGCTTGATGTCGCGATGGATGATGCCGGACGAGTGGAGGTACTCGAGGCCCGCGACGACGTCGCGAAAGTAGCGGCGGGCGCGGGCTTCGGACATCGGCTCACAGCGAATGACGTCGCCGAGGAGTGCGCCGCCGGGGACGTACTCCATGACCAGGTACAGCTTGTCATTGGACGGATCGTCGATGACCTCGAACAGGCGCACAATGTTGGGGTGGTCGAGCTTCTTCATGATGGCGATCTCGCGGCGAACGTCCTCAAGGAGCGAGGCCGAGAGCAGACCGCCTTTGCGCTTGCGCGAGAGGAGGAACTTGTTGCAGATCTTGACCGCGACGCGGGTGCCGTCCTGGGCGTGGATGCCGAGCTTGACCTTGCCGTACGTGCCGCGGCCGAGGGTCTTGAGCAGAATGTAGTCATTAATCCACTTGTAGCCATCCTCGTCGATGTACCGCTGCAGGCGAGTCGTCGACTTGACTGAGAGCGTCCCCTTGCCGAGAGTTGACGGGACGTGCTGGTGCATGTCGAGCGAAACGACCGAGGCGCGGCGGAAGGCACGCTTGGTGTCGGCGCGCGGGCGCCGCTCGATGGTCGAGTTCATGGTGTTGAACGAGGACGAGGTCGAGGACGAGGACGAGTCGTCCGACGACTCGATGATGTCGTTGGTGACAGTGAGTGCGCTCGACATGGTCTTGCGCATGGTTGGCACCATAAAGTCGTCCGCCGACGCGACTGCATCCAGCCGCACAACCCGCGTCGCTCCGCCGGGGTTGGAGACTTTGTGCCGGACGCCGAGGCCCTTGAGCAGCTGCGCTTCAAGCTCGATCCATGACTCGGTCCGGCCGCCGAGCTTCTTGTTCTCAAAGTCAGTGATGATCGGGGTTGACGACCGGCGGCGGCGGAGGACTGCATCCGTCAGGCCAGGTGAGGGGCCAGGTAGTTGATGCCTGGCCGTGGGATTTGACCTTGACTCTGGCTCTGGCCTGGCCTTTGCCTTTGCCTTTGCCTTTGCCTTTGCCTTTGCTTTCGCCTTTGCCTTTGCTTTCGCCTTGGACTTGGATTTGGCCTTTGCCTTTGCCTTGGACTTGGCCTTCTTCTTCTTCTTCTTCTTCTTCTTCCTCTTCCGCTTCTTCCGCTTATTCTTGGTCTTGGTCTTCTTCTTGTCCTTTGCATCCTTGGCGCTCTTGGACACTTTGGCGACGGGAGATGCAGCGAGGGCAATGCCTGACGGCTGCAGAGCAACAACAGACGATGAGGTGACGTGACCGTCAACGCCGGCCACCGCCCTTCCCGTGTCATCAGTGACGGTAAAGGGCTGCAGCCTTGGCTCGACCGACATCTGTTGACCATGGAGCGAGCCCGACGAAGTTCTGGCGATGTTGGTGTGGAACGAGTGAACGGCCGTCGAGCTCGAGCTCGAGCTTGTCTCTGTAAGGGCCAGCGACGAAGAGGCCGAGTTTGAGGATGACGATGATGCGGAAGCGGATGACGATGCGGAGGATGACGAGGAGGACGATGATGAAGAGGACGAGTCTGACGATGCTGACGATGAAGAAGATGACGAGTCTGACGAGTCCGAGCATGTTCCTGGACTTGCCACAGCATCAGCAGCCGCGACCTTGGCCGACGCTCTCAGCGTGCGTCTTGCCAGTGGTTGCTCCTCCGCCGTACCTGCTTCGATGGCGTTGTCGACGTTGTCCACGTTGTTGGGGTCGGTATGAACAGCACGGTCAGCAGAATGGGTATGACTGGTCTGGTGAGGGTCGGCCTGGTGCGGGTCGGCCTTGCGGCGGTCGGTGACGACGTTGTTGGTCATAGCCACCTGCGCACCACCTCCTTCATCTTCACCAGAATTCTCCACACGCCCAGGCCGCGAACAACACGAGCCCATACGCTATATTCTCCACACAATCTCCTCCTCAGAGAGCTGTCTGCTTCTCGTGTCCTCGCTCTATACCTCTCCGAGCCACCGCTTGCAAGACTGGCTTGTCCCCCCCCCCCCCCCCCCCCCCCCCCTCCGGCCACCTTGTCGACACTCGTCGCACCTGTGGGATCGCTTCAGTTGTTTGGCATTTCGTGTGGTGTTACACCACCTTACACCGCAATCGTCAAGGTCATCGAGGTCATCAAGGTCATCGAGGTCATCGAGGTCGTCGTGCTCGTCCCTCTTGTTGTTGTTGGTGTTGTGGTGGTGGTTGAGAACGGATGATCATAAGTGATAATGGAATTTGATGGGTGTGGGTGGAGTGATGGATGTGGGTATGGGAATGGTGTGGGTTTGGTAGTGAGATAAGGAGGTATCGTGAAAGGAGTGTGATAGGGTCATTGATGGGTGTGAGGGATGATTGGTTTGGTTTGGAGAAAGAGTTATGATCAGTGATGGGGAGGGGGCAGGGGGGGGAGCGAATTAATCAATGGAAATGATGAGGAATTAATGGTTGTCTTGGTTGGGTGGGGAGCGAATTAATCAATGGAAATGATGAGGAATTAATGGTTGTCTTGGTTGGGTGGGGAGCGAATTAATCAATGGAAATGATGAGGAATTAATGGTTGTCTTGGTTGGGTGGGGAGCGAATTAATCAATGGAAATGATGAGGAATTAATGGTTGACTTTGAGGCTGTCCGTTTCACCACTTGTCGCCCCAGTTGTGGTGGAGGGTGGGCAAGGACAAGCGGGAGAGAATGGAGGGACTGAGCATTGTGACAGAAGGCGGAGAAGGAGCAGGGCAAGAAGTCATGTCTGACTTTGGTGACATGTCGTCAACACCGTCCTCACCCAACGTAGCAGCTCTCGCCACTCCACCCTCCAACTCTCGTGTGCTCCTCTCGTCGTCATCATCATCATCATCATCATCATCAGCATCATCAGCTGACATCGATGGCAACGACAAGGTGGAAGTGGCCAGAAAGAAGGAAAAGCTTCCACAGTCTTCGTCCCATTCCGATGTCCTTGCACGTGCCGTCGAGATGGTCGCCAACTACTCTCCGCATGACGATCATGATGACAATGTCGACAAGCAAGCCGACCGCGATCACGGGCATGATGCCAACCGTGGTCACGAGCATGATGCCTACCACGGCCATGGTGATGTAGACGACGACGTGCGTCGGGCAGCAGCAGGCTCGGCGTCAGGATCAGGGCCACGGTCGGGATCGGGGTCGGGGTCGGACTCGGCCTCCGACTACGAGTCTTACTCGGGGTATTCGGCGAGCGGTGCGGCAGCGGCGGCGCTGATGGTGTCTGAGGGCGAGTTGACGCGGCGGTTGATGGAGTCAAGGAAGATGTTGACCGAGTCGCGGGCTAGCATGGGCTCCGAGACTGGGTCTGCCAACGGCGGGAGCGAGACAGATCGGGTGCCGGCGCCGGCGCTGCTACGGACGCGGCGATTGAGGGCTGGCTCGCGAGTCCAGTCGATGCGACTGGCGGCGGTGGACGAGTCGGAGGAAGAGCTTGCGCTGGACGCAGAGGAGCGGCTTCCGCTGGTACGGCGGGTGCTTGTGGCGGCGCACAAGATGCTTGTAGCGACGTTTGATGGCCAGGATGCACTCGCTGACGAGTCGCAGCGGCTGGCGGGCGTAGTGAGCGAGGTGCGGGCCAAGCTTGGCGAGGCGGGGCGGGACTCAACGGCGGTGGCGTCAGGCCTTGCGACGGTGGAGGTGCAGGCGGCGGCGCTAACGACGGCGACAACGCGAGTTCTACACATCGGAGCGACTGAGGAGAACTACGACGCGGTGGCGACAAGTATTCGCGAGCTGGTCACCGGGCTCTCGCTCTTGCTGGCGACGTTCCGGTTCAAGCGGGCGTTTGCCGGCGAGGGCGAGGAGGTGCTGGCGTTCTGGTACTCGCTGGCACAGGGCAACCCTCTGGTGGGCTCGTCGGACACGTCGAGTCGCCGCGGCTCGTCCGGCGATTTGATGGACATGTACATGGACGTGGCGCTCGGAGTGGCTTCCGACTCGCCGAATCCGCTGGTCATGCGGGTGGCGTCCGAGCTGGCGGCCATCGAGCGTCTTGCCCACGAGCACTCGACGCCCGGCGGCTCGGGCCGGGGCTCGTCGGCGAGTCCCGGCACACCATTCATGCCGGCCGAGCCTCCGGACGACGGCGAGTGGTGTACCGAGTCGACAATCGACGAGGCGCTGCTGCTTGCCGGTGGCTTTGAGCCCATCGATGAGGCCGACGGCGGACCGGGTGGGCCCGAGGAGGCGCCGGAGCCGCGCCAGCCGCGCCAGCCGCGCCAGCCGCGCGCGACGGGGCAGGCGGGCGAGCGGCAGCGGCGGCGGCGGCGCAAGGCCCGGGCAGCGTCGAGCATCAACACGTCGACGGCATCGTCGAGCTCGTACTCGACCACCTCGAGCTACTCGAGCAGCAGCTCGTCAACGGGCGGAAGCACGAGCCGGAGCACGACGGGAGGAGGCCGGGCAGGCCGGGCACGGCGGGTTTCGACGTCAACGGACATTACGCTCTCGTCGATGGACTCGGACGTCTTGCGGGCAGCGCGGCAGGAGGGCACATTTGGGCGACTGGCAACGTCGTCGACAGCGGCGTGGGCACACGCTCGACTGGCAGCCCCCGAGCCGCTCAACCGGTCCGAGTCGAAGATCGGCGCGTCGGTGTTCCGGGTCACCGACGCAGCAGCAGCAGCAGCAGCAGCGGCAGAGCGAGCGCGACGCGAGGACGAAGCGCAGCGGGCGCAGCTGGCGGAGGCCGAGCGGCAGGACCGGATTCTTGTGGCGGCGCTTCTGCAGTCGCTGCGGAACCAGGACCAGCTCAAGGCGCGGCTGGCGCAGCAGCGGGCGAGGGTGTCGGAGCAGGAAGTTGTCAAGGCGCGGCTGGAACACAAGATTCAGACGATGAAGAAGCGTGGGTACATGCCGATGGCTGAGCGGCGGCGGCAGGAGCGCAAGCTCAATGCCTCGCTGGGCGGCGTTGCCGTCGGCGACGTCTCCGAGCTCCTTCGGCGGGCTACCCAGGACTCGCTCGACCTCCCTCCGCCCGAGTCGCTCGACGAGGAGATCGACATGCTCGAGGCTGAGCTCGGCACCATCGACAAGGTCCTTTCACTCGACGTTGTTCAACCGTATCTCTCACAGCCGTCGTTGTAGAGCACAGCTGTGTGGTTGCCGAGCAACGATTGCAGAGACAACAAACAATCGTTGTCGATTACAGCATCAACAAACAATCGTTGGCCAGTCCCCACCACCCGACAGCTTGGCAACAATAAGTTCAACAACAAACAATTGATAGGCGGGCGGACGGGCGGGTGACTACCCACTTGACTCTGCCGCAGGACGAAGGAGCACATGGGAGTAGGCAACCATGTCGTGCTCGGCTTGCTCCTGGTAGCTGTTGTGGCATGGAGTGCGTCAGGACAAGACTGCGTGCCCAAGGTCACATGCATCCATGGAACATACAACTGCATCACCACAAGCTGTGACTGTGACCCTGGTTGGCGTGGCGTCAACTGTTCACGTACGCTCAACCCCCTCCAGCCCCCTCCCTTCCCCCCTCCCTCCCCCTTCCTCCCTCCTTTCCCGCCCGAACGATGATTCCGTACAAGAGTTAATCGATGACGTGTCATTGCCTTCCATATGATGAGCATTAATCATGGCGTTCGTTCGTTTGTTTGTTTGTTTGTTCGTTCGTTCGGTTGTTTGTTCGTTCGTTCGGGGAATGTCACGCTTGTGCGACGTGACGTCGTCCGGCTTCCCAACCCCTTCTTCCCCCCCTACTATGCGCATGAACTCACTGTGGAAGAACATTATGGAATACGGATGAACTTGGGTGATATGTGTCACATATAGTGTGTATTCCGCCCACCCACAACAGCTCTGACACCAGCAGCAAGGCGCTGTTCCACGAGGTCATGGCTGTGTCGGGTCAGGCGGGGCGGTCGATGATGGCGAGTCGGGCGACGACGACGGGCGAGGCGACGACGAGCGGAGGCGGAAGTGGCTACAATCCAAGTATGGATGCGTGCTCGATGAATGGGCATGAGGCCAAGTGCTCGACGTCGCTCATGCCGTCGTTCAACACCTCGCATCAGCTGCAGTGCGATGTGCCGGATGCCTCGGTCTCCAAGCTCCTTGATCTGCAGGATGGGATCATTGCGCTCGACTGCGTGACCAACGGGACAACGTGTGGGGTGTATGTGTGGCACCACCAGAACGGGCCGCCGGAGATCTTCAACTGTGTACTCGAAGAGTGCGGCTACGAGTACAAGGAGAACCACGTGACGCTCAAGTGCGCGACGACGAGGTGCGTGCATGGGCCCAACTGGACGCCGTCTGAAATTCTGGAGAACATTCTGACGTCGCTCAAGGGATGGATGTCGTTTGACTGTGACTTGCGGAACAATCACTGTGTGATGGCGCAGGAGGAGCTGCAGGAGCTCATTATTCCGCTGTCGTGCTACTCGGGCGATTGCGTGCCGTACGACTTTCATCCGCCACCGCAGTACTACCCGCCGTTCTGGACTCGCGAGAACAAGATCATTGTCGGGTCGATTGCGGCGGCGATGGGGCTGGCAGCGCTCGGGGCTCTTGCGTACTACTTCCACAGGCGGCGGCAGGCGGCGTATGCCAGGCTGCTGGAGGAGACAGCGGTGCTGGACATTGACGCGCTTGCGGCGGACGAGCTCGACAAGTACATGTTTGATCTCGGCTTTGCGGACCTCAGCGTGGTGGTGAAAGACAAGACGATTCTGCGGTCTGCGAGCGGATACTGCGCGCCTGGAACAGTGACTGCGATCATGGGCCCGTCCGGCGCCGGCAAGTCGACGCTGCTCAACGTGCTCGCGGGGCGGATCTCGTTCTCGGACATGTCTGGGCAGGTGCTGGTCAACGGTCAGCCGCGGTCTACGGCGTTCAAGCGCATTGCCGGGTACGTGACGCAGGACGACTTTCTCATTCCGACGCTCACGGTCCGCGAGACGCTCAACTTTCACGCGCAGCTGCGGCTAGGCAACTCGGTGTCTGCGGCGACGCGGGTGGCGCGGGTGGAAAAGGTCATTGCGCAGCTGGAGCTCACGCACGTGGCCGACTCGCGGATCGGCGACCGGCTCATCCGCGGCATTTCCGGCGGCGAGCGGCGGCGGGTGTCGATTGCCACCGAGCTGGTTACCTCACCGCGCATTCTGTTTCTCGACGAGCCGACGTCTGGACTCGACTCGTGCACAGCGTCGGCGATCATGGCGACGCTGCGCGAGCTGGCGACAAGCTCTGCGCTCACGGTCATTCTCTCGATTCACCAGCCGCGGTCGTCGATCTACGCCTCGTTTGACAACCTCATTCTGCTCTCCAAGGGCTCGACACTGTACAACGGGCGGGCAGCTGGGGCGACGGGCCACTTTGCGCAGCTCGGGCATCCGTGCCCGCAAGACTTTAACCCTGCCGACTTTCTCATCGACTTGGTGACGGCGTCGCCGGCGACGACGCTCGACACGCTGGCGTACCACTACACGACGTCGCCGGCGGCGACGACGCTCAACAATGTGCTCGACGACCTTGTCCAGCGCGGCATCTCGCCGCCGGTCCCACGGCGGATTGCGTCGCTCTCGCCTGCCGTAGGCGACGCGGCGGGCCTGCTTGCGCTCCTGCCTGGAGTGCAGGGCGCGCGGAGCGAGAACCGCGAGCGCACCGTTTCGGGGCGGCTCATCGACACCTTTACGATCGGAACCGAGGAGACCGAGGAGGGGAGCGAGCGGAGCGGGCGGTCACGGCTGAATTCGGGCGCGCCCGCGGTGCCGCGGCTGACGACATCAGCAACGTCGCTTCAGGCCGAGGCCGGGTCTGCCGACGGGCGCGGGAGCGGGCCGGCGTCTGCGCGTTCGGATGCGTCTGCGCGGTACGAGGAGGTGCTCGACGCGGCGGGCACGGGAGGCGACGGGAGCGGAAGAGGCGAGATGGTGCGTGTCTTTTACGACAACCAGGCACAGCTCTCGCCGTACGCCACGTCTGCACTTGCGCAGACATGGATTCTCTGCCAGCGAACCGCGCTCAACGTGGTGCGCAACCCGGCGCTCGGGCTCGCGCACTACGTGGTCACCATTGTGGTCGGACTCATCATCGGCGGCATCTACTTCCAGGTTGGTGACGACTGGCCCGGGCTGCAGAATCGGGCCGGCTCTGTCTTTTTCATCATCTCGCTGCTATCGTTTGGCTCGCTCTCGGCACTCGAGCTCTTCATCGCTGAGCGTGCGCTCTTCCTCCACGAGCGGTCGAACGGGTGCTACCGGTCGTCGTCATACTTTGTGAGCAAGCTGGTGTGCGACCTCATTCCACTGCGGATTGTGCCGCCGGTCATCCTCGCCGTCATCGCCTACTATCTCATCGGCCTCCGGGCCGGGGCTGAGCACTTTGTCTGGTTCGCCTTTGTCCTCGTCCTCGTCGACATCAACGCCACCGGCATGTGCATGGCCATCGGGGCGATTGTGCCGTCTGTGGCGGTCGGCAACCTCATCACGGTCCTGGTCATGCTCTTCTACATGCTTTTTGGTGGTTTCCTCCTCAACAAGTCCACGGTCGGCCCGCTCTTTATCTGGCTCAAGTACCTCTCGTTCTTCAACTACGGCTACGAGGCCGCGCTTGTCGACCAGCTCAAGGGCACCGTCATCAACTTTGAGACCTCGCCGGGCGTCTCGGTCCTTCTCACGGGCGAGGCCGTTCTCGCCCGGCTCTCGCTCAACCCGGCCAACTTTGATCGCGACATCCTCATCCTCATCGGCATGGGTGCCGGTCACCTGCTGCTGGCGTATCTGATGCTTCGGGTCAGGGCGTGGCTGCGGCGGTGAGCATGGTAAAGAACGGTGTGTATGTGTGTGATATGCGTGTGTGTGTGTGTGTGTGTCTGGTTTTACTGCGGAGAGCACAGCATCGTCTACTTGGCCTGCTTGTGGGCGAGGATGTAGTCGATGGCCTGGGCAACCGAGTGAATCTTCTCGGCGTCCTGATCGGGAATCTGCACAGCAAACTCGTCCTCAATGGCCATGACCACCTCCACAGTATCCAATGAGTCGAGTCCAAGATCGTTGACAAAGTGCGACTCGGCGGTGACCTGTAGGTGTTGCAGAGAGAGTGAGTGAAAGAAAGGGAGAGGGGGGGAAGGGGAAGGAAGGAGGAGAGGGCGGGAGCGGGAGCGGGTTATCCCGGGGCGGTCCATGCGGTCCGGGGTGTGGGTGGAGGGGGAGGGGGGGGGGGGTCGGTGGGTCGGTAACGTTACGGTCCCGGTCGGGTCCG